CCTAAAGGTTGTATTTCCTGCTTCACAGGTCTCCTTCCCCACCACCCCGTCGTAGATCTCCATCCCCCAGACGATATTCTCCCCCTATCCAACGTCGCTACAGCCCTTCACCTTTGCCCTCTCAGAAGAGGAAAATGTCTAACTCGCCAATGAAACGCTCTTCACCGGCTACCAAGCGACGTCCCTCCAGATCCCCCAGACATAGAAGCTCTCCTCCTCCAAGAAGACGATCCCCTCCCTCCTCGACATCTCCACCCAGACACAGGAGGAGCCCCATGCTGCCACCTGGGCGGCGAAGCAGAGATGCTCGATCCCCTGTTGCGGCATCCAGACGCCTCTCCCCATCCCCTGCAAACCGCAGTCACGCTGTTAGAGGATCCACAACCCCCCCACGGCGCTATGAAACCTTGAGCACATCTCCGTCTAACCAGCGCAGACAGCAGTCACCTCCACACAATAAAGTCATCCGCAGAGTTTCACGCACCCCAGAACGCCGTGACAACCAGAGGTAGGGATCACTTATGTATCAGACAGAACAGCGTTTCAATTTCTATTTACCTGTGACATTTTTGTGTGCCAATTATCTGATGTCACCTGTGTCATCTCTCTCAGACCATCTCCAAGCCCTCAGCCTATAAGAAGAGCGTCCTCCAGATCTGTTTCCCCTGAACCAGCAGCTCAGAAACGTCCGACTCAAGCATCCGCCTCCCCCTCCCCGTCTCGCTCTGCCAGTGCGTCTCCACCACCAGCCAAGAAAGCCAGCAGCGGTTCTGGAAGTCGATCTCCAAGCAAGGTTTGAGCTTATTCGCAGATATAAAAAAAAAAAATAGAATTTTTTTTTTTTTTTTAATGAAGGGTGGGGATTAATGGTCTAACTGTTAAAATCTGTGCACGCCAATCATGGCAAGTTATAGCCTCAGGAAGTTGAACTTTTGCAGCATTGTTAAAAGGAAATGTCATCATATATGTTCAGTGTTTTTAAAACTTGAAACTGTAAATTCTAAATTCCTCCAACAGAAACACATTAACTGTAAGCTGAGCTGCAGCACCGTTGCCATAATCCTTCTCTTAACTTTGTGTTGATATAAACATGCTTCATGCCTGTGTCGTCAAGTTCTGATGTTTCTCTTTCAGACTTCGGATGTTGACGGCGGTGCAAAGAAAAAGAAGAAGAAGAAGGAAAAGAAACACAAGAAGGAGAAGAAGCATAAAAAGCACAAGAAGCATAAGAAGGAGAAGAGCAGTAGTGCTGCTGTGACTGGAGACACACAGGAGAACCAGGCTGCAGAGGAGGACCGAGATTCCAGAAAGGTAACATCAGTTTCCCCTCTGTCTGATTTCTGTTCGGTACAACAGCGGATATAGGTCGTTGAGTAAATGATGCGTTGTTGTTGTTTAGGAATCGGACAGTGACGTGGAAAACACCTTGGATGATCTGGAAAAGCACCTTAGAGAGAAAGCGCTGCGCTCCATGAGGAAGGCCCAGATGTCTCCATCACAGATGTCCTGAAAGCAAGCGGCTCTCACTCGTGAATTTTCCAATCACTCTTGATGTTTGTCATCAACCTGGTTCAGCTTTAGAATGTACAAATTGTTAAACCTTGACTTTTGTGTTTCTTTTTACTGGTTTGGTACATTCTGAAGGGTTTGATTTGTTGGTTAGTGTATTATCTGAACTGTAAAGAAGCTTGTGATGTTCATAATTTTAATTTGTCAGCAGGGAAACAAGTTAGGCTCAGAGGTTTTGATTTGGGCAGGTTAAATATTATTTCCACAGCCTACAGTAGATTCTGTTGAGAAATGATTGCATGTGCAGTGATTGTCTCTGATGTGCATGAACCACTGACCTTATGAAGTATAGGTAACTATACAGTAACATACAGTTACTTTTGCCTTTTAGTTGTGAGAGACGGCTGTGTCCACTATTAAAGAGGCTGTAACGGAACCTTTTGTCCCATATTGTAACTTAATAGAGGTTTCGGCATCATTTAACCTGCTTATTTTTGAGTTTTAAATTCTTGTTTGAAGACTATGTGATACCTGCTTTGTTTTTTTTTTTTTTTTTTTTTTTTTTTTTTTTTTCTTTTCCCAAACCGATAGATGATGCAGTTTGTGTTGACACTCTTGTACCAAGCTAATCTCTGTGGGACTGCTAATAGTATCTTTGTATTTAGTAATTTTGCCTCTTGTCATCTTGTCCTTTCAGAATTAAAACCTTTTTTATAGGATTAATGGTTTTGGAACATTTTGTCATTCTTTTTGGTTGTAATAAAATGTTGTAGAAAAGAATCTAAAAAGGGATTATTATTATTCTCCTCATTATTATTATTATTAGTATTAGTATTATTATTATTATTATTATTTGTTTTATTTGTTTGGAAACATAGGCTGCTGTCAGGACAAGCAGCAAAAATGCTAGTTTCTATTTTCTGTACGTAATCAAAAGTGCAATTGCCAAACATTTTTGTGTCAAATCAGTAAAATTCTGTTAAATCCATCTTAAAGGACAAACATTTTTGGAATAAGGTTCTGTATAAGGCCTGAGTTCGTTTAGCTTAGATTTAATTTGAAAACAGTTCTATATTATGTAATGTATGAGATCAAGTTTAAGAAGCCGTGAGCTTAACAAACATACAGCACTGAACTCATTTAGACAGCTAAGTAAATTCTGACATTTGAATATTCTTCAGGAATTGTTCTCTGGGCTTTTGAGGGACATGCAAAGCTCTTTTTTGGATGTTGTCTGCCTTAAGATGAGCCCACACTGCTTCAGTAATGTTGAGGTCTGGGCTCTGGAGACCAATCCATGACCGGTCGTGTTACATCGTGTGATATATATCTATATAGATATATAGATAATTTTAAAAAAAGAAAACGGATATATATATATCTCTGTGTGTGTGTGTGTGTGTATATATATATAGATATATATAGATATAGAGATCTAGATATAGAGATCTAGAGATATAGAGATCTAGAGATCTAGAGATCTAGAGATCTAGATATAGATATCTAGATATAGATATCTATATCTCTTTTCTTTTTTTTATTTATTAAATCCAGATATGATCGTAGTGCGCTGTCAGTGTGTTTGGGATCATTGTGACTTTGAAATGAAGCTGTAAACAGACTCGTTCCAGTATTTTATGCTGGATCAAAATTGGAAGACGTTTAGATCTTCTATCAATTTTGACATGATCCCCAAACTATGAGGCGTTGCACCATGTTTTACAGATGGCTGCAGACTCACTGTTGTACCTGTATCGTCCACTTTCATAACACACACCATGCTGTTTTATGAACTTAATGGTTTTCAGATAATAGCTGTTTAGGAATCACTGTCAGTAAATTGTGCTATCTTTTGTCATTTTTCATTGATTGTATTAAAGAAGTGTTTATTTTTTTAATGTAAAGTTCCTAAAGATCCAATTTAAAATGGGTTCTTTGTTAAGTTGTCTGTGAAATGTGGACACAACACCGGTTCATCCCTTGAGTTAGCCTTTTTTATACTCGAACAATTCATAAGATCTAACAAACAAAAGGATTGGACTGAAAACGAGTCAAAAAACAGCCAAAGAAAAGCTTTGAAAGATCAAAGCTGAACACCACTTTAAAAAAAAAATTACAAGTCTGGCTCTTTGGAAGCTAAATTTAAGGAAGTTTGGGGTGGTAACAAACATTTGCACAGTAGTAGATGTAGACTTCAGTGCAGATGCAGGAGACACCTCCCTCAGAACGTGTATTTCCCCCCAGGCAGATTTACCTAAAGAAAAAGTACTATACCATTACTCGGCAAAGCAACAATTTCTCTGACTGGGTGGATCTCTAACTGCCTGAAATATGATTGTGAATTATGAGCTTCTACCACCACTGACATTTTGTGGTAAATGTCATTATCTCCACCACACACATACAGTGTTGTGATCTCAGCAGCACGTCTCCTCCTCATGATGGCTTCCATATGTTGCAGGTTCATGACGATGAAAAACAGTAAAAGGAAAAAGAGGCAGGTCCTTTTTTAAAAATAAGAAAATCTGTGAAAAAAGTAAAGTTCATGATGGAAGGGGCTTGTGGAACAACCCAAAGTAACAGTTTTCTGCATAATTTTATCAGTCTCTCACATTGTTATGGAGGAATTTTACTCTACTCTTCTTAACATTGCTTCAGTTCATTGAGGTTTGCAATCACCACAGCATTTTAGTCAGGTCAGAACTTTGACTGGGCCCTAATTCCTTTCATTCCAATGTGTTTGAGCTTTAACTTTTGGACAGAAGACAAGAATTTTGTGACTCTAGGTTCTGCTTGATTTTTTTAAACTATCATTAAGATTAAGTCCAAGGTTTAGTTTTTCCTCACCCAGAACTCTGATAACTCAACATCAGTGAAGAGTCCTTTATTGAACGACCTGTTCATAAAAGCAGTTTCTGTGTAGAAAAACTGCTTCTCGAGTCAGCAGCAGAACTTTGAATTTGACTGATTTCTCTAAAACTTAATGCCTTCTTTCAAGCAGCAATGCCTGCAGCTTACAATTAAACAGAATAGACCCAAATATTTAAACAAGATAAAAAGTAAGCTGAAATTAAAATAAAGGAAAAATTATTAAATTAAATTATTTTATTATTATATAATTTTGTAAAAAAAAGGAAAATATTTAAAAATTTAAAAAATGTATTTAAATGTATATTTACAACAAAGGAAAGGATTCTGACTTTTTTCTCAGAATTTAGGAAAAGAAGAAGAAAAAAGACGTGCCCACTTTTTTCCCCCAGTGGCCCTAATCCTCTTCCGTAATAGATAGATAGATAGATAGATAGATAGATAGATAGATAGATAGATAGATATAACTATTATTTCAACTGACTTACTGAATGTTAAAAACAAACAAACAATGATACTACTTTTTTATGGTGCCTGTGCCACCCCTATGAAAGTCCTGGAAACGCCCCTGCGTTTTACTGGGATCCTTAGCGACCGGACTCCCTCCACCTCCAACCCTCCCCGCTGATGACGTCACGCTTTAAATATTCCCGTAGCTTCTTCACGCCGTCCTCGTCACCATCACCACCCACCCAGCAGATAGATCCTGTGACGGGTCAGCCGTACGTGTGTAGCCTGGAAACGTTTCTGTTGTCTGGAAGGCGCCGCTGCTCTGGTCCGCTTTGCTGTGCAGAACCTGGAGGGAAGAAAAAGGCGTCTTCGGGATTGAGTGCGCAAAAAGGGGGGAGGCGGATAAGAGCTAAGTCGGGCGTGGTAGCGGAGAAAACTCATCTTTGTGAGGAGAAACTTCAGAGCAGCAGCTACCATGTCGCTGTCGGTCCCGCAGAACGGAGTGAAGGCGGATAATGAGCCCGTTATCGAGCTGTTTGTGAAGGTAAGACCGCAGGATAAGTTTTTCTCTCTCTCACTTGGCTGAACCCACATCTGCGCATTGTGCTCTCACGCGCTTTATTTCTGCCTCGAAAGCGAGTAATGTTAGAGATTTGCACATATAGTGTCTCCACGCAGGACGGCTGTATGGAGGCGTGTGTTTGAGAGGCTCGGAGCTACATGTTCATTTACATCCATAAACCTCTTTGCCATTGTGGCCATGTGGAGCCCGCAGTGTCACCAGCAGGGCGGATACGGCCATCTCCCACCTCTCCACCCCTCAGCGTGGGTGCAGATCAACCTGCCGTGCTGAAAACTGGGCGCTAATTCTGCAACAAAAGCCCGGCAGCTGTGCTTCACAAGAGTCCACCCGACAGGGGGATACATGCTGCAGCTGCATTTTCGTGTTTGGGGCACTAAGTGGTAGATGGTATGAGAACTGACCCTGGTTCAGCTTTAAATAAGAGTGCAGGGTGTTTGATGTTTGGTTCACCAAAGCAACAAAGAGCCTGAAGGACAAACTGCTTCACCAGTTTTCCAGCTTTGTTTCACATACAAAAGAAAGTGTGTGGCAGACAATGCTGTTGGTGCATTTTCATTAAAATTGTTTAAAGCGGGCAGTTGGGTAGCTTAATGGATGATCTCCTGCTCAGTGGAGACCCTGGTGGAGGTGGTGGCGGTGGATGCCTGTTTGTTTTTTGTTTTTTTTCTTTCTTTCTTTCTTTCTTTGAGCCTGATGCTTCCCAGAGCGGGAAAATGGCACCAGGAAGAATAGAGGGAGAAGCACACTGGGACTGAAGGGGGCTGGGGTAGTGGGAGGAGGCTGTGGGGTAGCGAATTAGGTGGTGGAGTTTATGGGTGTTGGTACGTTAGGGTGTCACTGACCAAAACGGCAGGCTCATAACAGTAACAGTGGATGATTGCGGCTTTGAAAACACTGATACATGCTACATATGAGAGCAATTACCCTCGATAAGCCCAATTTATAAAGGGATCCCTATCTAGGAGAACCACCTCCATTACATCATATCAGTTGGATGCAGTACAAACCCCGCCTCCGTCCTGTTTGTGGTGCTTTTGTAGACTCTGAGTTTAAAGAGGAGGTCTCCTCAGCGTAAAACTACAGGAACAAACCGTTCTACTACTGCATTTCACTGCCTACAGGAGAGGTTACATCATCCCGAGGCCTGGAAGGTTTGCACTTGTGGCCGGCTCTTCCCTCCCAACCCCTCCCTTTCTAGCCCGCGCAGCCAGAAGTTTCTTCATTGTGTATCTTCTGGACACGTCTGCGTGGAAGTGTGCTAGCGTTTCCCTTCACTCCCTCTCACATGGCTCCGTGTTGCATGTACCAGAGTTTGACTTGTACACATCTATTATTCATGCAGCCGTTTTCACTGTGTTGCATTAAACACAGCCATGGGAGACAATGGCTGGCATGCAGGTTGCCATAGGCACATTGCTGTTAGCTGGGCCTCTGGGAACAGCTGATAACAAAGTGTGTGTGTGTGTGTGCTCTCCACACACAGCTGTCAGATCTGTTAGGCCTCTGCCACATATCAAAGCTGACTAATTATGCTTCCATAATATCAGTTGCCACAGTGTCCATGTCTATAGATTGAGAGGCGTCGACACTGTTTACTCATTAAAAGTAGCTGGCTCACCCAGTTCAGAGACTGTTCGATTATCTTGCAGCTTTTTACCACCAGTGTTTATAGCAACAGTTGTCAAACTGCTATGGGAACACTTGGAGTGGGCTCATCGAGGGTGGGGAGGTGAAGCTCGTGTTGTCTCCGTTTATTGCTCTGTCACATCAGCACAATGTGATGACTTTGTAAGTGGGAGGATCGACCTTTGACCTCATCACAGCGCAGCAGGTTAGATATTGTTTTTGATCATGAGTAGCTGTTGGGCTGTGGAGGGTGACTTCCTAGCATCCACCCAACACATTAGAATACTAAATGAGATGTCGTAATTAAATGGGAGAATAAAGCTTGTATCTATCTTTTGTATTTGTATTTATTTGAAATTGTTCCTCTTAATCACGACATCATCCAGACTTGGGAGCACATTAGACTGCTTTGACCTAAGCGCAGAGCATTGCAGATCAGTGTTTTGTGGTAATGGTGCTGTCTCCTGTGGGTCCCCTTTCTATGGTCACGCCAACTGTTGGGCTTTTCTGTGAATAAAACTAACCTCTGCTTAAATGTGATTGGTCAGTCGGGCTCGGGCTACAAATGTAACCTGAAAGATTCACACTTGCAACCTCTAAATCCTCACATTTAACACAATCATTCTGCTCTTCAACGGTTCTCACATAATTTCCTCGCCAACTTCATCTCCTCCTCTGACGATCAGCTTTCCCGCCCTGATGGCGTTCAGCTCCAACCCTTCTGCTGGTTTTGGGGGCTATCACGGTAGAAGGCGACTCTCCTCTAACCTTCGAAATTCAACCTTCAGCCTCACTTCTCCATCAAGTCTTCTCATTGTCCAGAGGAGAAGTTTAAAAAACACAACATTTAAGATCATAAAAGCAGCATGAGAAGCACTCCAGAGACTCTAAGGAGCTTAGAAAGAAAAGTGTCTGGACTTCTTTAAGTTGCTTGAAGATGACACACTCGACACAGTGAAACTCTTAACTTATTTCCTCTCTGTACCAAGCCAAAGGCACAAGAGTGATGCAACCAAGGGTTAGCCCACAGACCAGTTGTTTGATTAAACGTTAGAAAATTAATCAGCCACATTTCCAAAAAGTGGAGGAAGCTTCCAGGTCTCAGGTTTCTTTCACCTGCATTATACTTAATGGTCACAAATGAGCAGGAGCAATAACTTGTTGTGCCTACACTACCTGCCAGCATTGTAGCTATAATCCTATATTCTGTTTATGGTTATTCCACATGTTTTTGGTACTGCCACCTGGTGACAGGATGCAGCAACAACATGTAAATGCCAGCATACAAAGCTGTGCATAAGATGGGAGCCATGCTGGTTCTTTACATTCTTCATTGTTGGTTTTGTGTTCATAACTTGCACTCAAATTATTCTGTATGTTTTATTCAATTTTCCTTACGAAGATTCTCTGAATTAATTCGGGACATGCATGCAAATGAGTCTTACTGCACCAGCATATGATCATGGGTGGATGACAGTGAGTGGAATATAGATGAGCCAAAGGAAACAAACAGCCTTTATCTCCACTCACATTTGTGCGTCTGCTGGCTGAGACTGTGCCAGGGTCACACGACCGGTCGCAAAGCCTTATGCTGCTTCCAGCTCTCAGGCCAGCAGAGGTTGAAAACATGTTCAAGAAGTGCTTTTAGGTCTGGGTGGCAGACTGTTTACAATGCCATGGGAGCCGTGGAGATGAAGGCCTACAAAGCCCAGAGAGGAGCTCACAGCTATGCAGCGCTTCTGTGCGGTCAAGGAGGCTAAAACGTTGTTAGCTCGGTCTGTAAAAGAGAACAATGACAGCTCGGGTTTAACTTCATCTTAACGCGCTACACTCTGAGCTGTTTGCAGGCCTGGCCAAGATCGGCTCATCATGTTGTGCAATCAGTTGGAGCATGTGACGGTCAGATGCATGGCTTATATACTGCGGCTCGTAACAATGCACTGCTCACCCAAAAGCTGTAACCGTTAAAATGTCGGTAGTTTGAAAGGTTTAGTATCGCTACCCTTAGCAGCGAGGTTCCATTTATTGTTTGTTTCTTTTCAGCATAAAATAAACCGTTCCTTTGTCCCTCGGGTGGTATTCTAGGGAGCTAAGTGCTGTTTCTTTATAGGAAAATCAATAGAGCGCTTTATTTTTTGTGAGTAACGCTGCAGTCAGCATCTTGAGTTAGAGGACAGAGATTAATGGCTTGTTAGTGGTGTGGAGCTTGCTGAGCTTGTGCTGTGTGTCCTCGTTTCTGCACCATGGACTTGCTTTTGCAGCACCTGGCCTGTCACAACTTCTTCTTTGTAACTGTCTGGTTGACTGACTCTCTGGCCACTGGCCTAATCGATCTGGCAGTGTGTTATTACACCAATCTGAACTGGGGCTTTGGAACCACTCAGAAGTTAATTTATGTTCTTGCCAGTGGACTATAACATGTACTTAAGCAACACGGCCCTAGTTGTACCTAAATAAATGGCTCTTATGTAAATGATTTTCAAATTTAAAAGCTTGAGTCATCTCATTGAGGGGCGGAAGAGCTGGTCTCATTTCTGTGCTGTTCAGTCAGGAAGCCGATGGTTAATAAAGCATTTTTCAATGACCGGAAATGAGGTCAGTCCAGAGCAGCACGGAATGGATCCAATCACTGAGTCATGTGTTATGCTATTATTGTTAAGGCTGTACCTGCCGCAGCCTCTGGCTGTAGCTCCTCTATTACCTTTATTTTCAGAGGTTAAACTACATGCACTACATCAGTACTGACTGTAATCCCAATCATTTGATGAAGGTGCATGCTTATTGCTGACTTGATGCTTTGCTTGTGGCAAACATTTGTATATGTGGAAATGCAAAGTCAGGCTTGTCCATGAGTGTTTTGCATGTTAGATTTTTATGATGGTGTAAAACAAAAACTGTTGATCATGCACCAGACAGGCACTGAAATGCAGCTCGCCGGTGGGTCAGAGTCTATCCTGATGATGTGGCTGGTGTTTGTGTAGCCACGGTCTGGGCTTCTGCTGCCATATATGTATCTGGCATGTGTGGTAATGGCACACTAAGGATGTGTTGATGCCAAAGGGTGCTTCATAGCTGTCTAGACGGGGCTTTTGTCCTGAAGAAATCACTACAGGGTTCGGGGTTGCTTTGATTACAACACTGTGCAGGCAGACTTCAAGTTTACTGTTAAAGGCTTTTTCAGGAACCAGTTTTGTGTCATTTCAAAGGAAAGTGTGAGGAGAAACGGGCAGGAACAACGCAAACATTTGGCTTTTGTGTTTGCGAGTAAGAGCGCGTCTCCCTTTATGGTCAGTGAAGTGTTTGCAGAGGTGGGGTCGGGGCCAACCTGAGTGTGC